CCATTGACAAGTTATTAATGGAAATTTTTATTTATTAGTTTTTATCAGCATATTATTTATTCTTTTTATTTCATTTTGTACTCTATGCTTGTTTGAAATACTTTAATTGTGTTGATATCCTCTGATTTTGTTCGCAAACTTGATCAACCCGTGTTATGAAATTAGGGGGTATCACATTAATGATCTACAACCATGCATGCACAAACAAAACACAAACAAGCAACAAACAAGTAGCAATCACTTCTCCTCCGCAACAAATCAACAATCAACAATCCTCCACATACGATGATCCCATACTCTCATTCTTTGAACAATATGCAAGAAAAATTAAATTGCCTCCACGCGGGCTCACGATTTAACTAGAGATTGAGTTTAGAAAAGCTTACAAAGGGTCCTTAAACAACTTCAAATGATCTTTCAATTTTTTTCTTTGCCTTGTTTGCTTTGCAATTTTTTATTTTTTTATTTTTGAGCTTTTTATGCTATTGCTTAGCTTCACTTGGCTTCTTTTGCTTTTCAATTTCGTTTTGCTTCACTCTCTTGGCTCAATGCACCTAGCCAATCAAGAACCGACACAATAAGTAATCAAAATAAAATAAAGTAAAGACACGATCAAAAGAGTACTAATTCCTAATTGTTTCCAAAATATGGTGTTGCCTAATCCCCGGTAACGGCGCCAAAACTTGGTGCGGTCGCTTACTAACAAGTTAAAATGTGTTAAAGAGTGGCTAAGTTGAAATTTGTAAAATGCCACTACAACCTCTAACTACTAATACAGTTAGGGTGAGTAGGGATCGTCCCCAGGGATTGGAAGCGTACTATGCTTAGAAACAATGTGGATTAGTAGGTCGAGTGATCAAAAGGTGGATTGATTGGTTAATTAAACTACAATTTTAAATTAAATGAAAGCAATGTAGAATAATTAAAGTAAGTAAAGTATAGAGAAATAAGAGAGAGAGGTCTTGGGACTTAGAGGTCACCACTAAGCATCACCTTCCTAGACATTCAATGTACAACAAATGAGGAGGGAGTGTATATTGCAATACTAGTGTGTTAATTGATTGAATCAACAAGCATGGATAACTAATTAAGTATACATTGTCTAGACAAACTAATGAATAACACAACATATCAAATTAAGCCATTGTTCCTTCCCTTAAGTTCACCATCAAAACACATCAACAAGCTAGAGAAATATACTACTTGCATTTATAAGTATGGAACATCAAACAACAAGCATGGATTGTCCTTCCATCTAAGAAAGTAAGGCAACTACACTACAACTAAGCTAGGGACATGAAAATTAAACTAATTAAACTAAGGAAGAGGCACAATCCATCAAGAAATGAGTATGAACCATCAAACAAGCTACAAGAGTATTCCATTTAAGCACCATGCCTTGACCATCACTGAATTCATAATATTAACACACAGAGACATGCATCAATATAGCAAAATCTAGAGATAAACACATGAACATCTATTCTAGCATACATAGACATATGAATATAACGAAATGATCAATTGGAAGTATTAAACCACACAAATCAAGATAGAAACAAGATTTATATATATATCAAAGGTCAAGACAAATATTACAACACAAATCCTCTCAAAATACAAACCATCAAGGTCTAGGAAGCATGCTTAGGGCTAACTCTAGCCCCAAGAAGATGTTTAGCCACTCATTGATGTAGTCATCCAACCCTCAAGGGTCATGTCCATGGTAGGATTGATCTTTTTCTCGTTGATGGAAACTTTAGATGAGTAGAAGAACTCCCAAATGGTGTGTATCTCTATGATCTCTAGACTTCTCCAACTTTTTTTTTTAGATTGTGTATATTTTTCTCCCTTTAAGATTGCGTATGATTATCTGATAGTGTATAATGGCTCAAAATCCTTATATAGGTAGCTCAAGTGTCACACCTAATTGATGAGCGCTGAAAAGTGCGCATTTAAACCCCTTAAGCTTGAGCATTCTAGGACCTTTATCTATCTTATTTTTCAGCCTTAGACTAATTTCATGTTATAGCCCTTTTTAGGTGCTTATCCCAAAAATAAGTTAATTCAACCAAATTAGAGCTTAAAAGAAGTAATCTCAAACTGAATGGAAGAAAAGAGCAAAGTGGAAGCAAAGTGTGAAAAAACAGCAAGTTTGATCGATCTCAACATTTCTTCGATCGATCAGAGCAAGATCGATCTGGCCTCATCAAGATGGATCCAAGTAATTGTCCTTATCCAAAAGATCTCACCATCTTCGATCGATCCAACTTTTCTTCGATCGATCAAAATTGTTTGATCTTATCCTCACCTACCACCCCACCTACCACTTTTGTCTCTTTCCCAAAATATCTCAAAATATATCAGAGATTTGTCTTTATTCAAAAAGGCGCCCCAAGGATGATCGATTTCTGTAGCATTCGATGGATTTCACCAATGTTCGATCGATCTCAACATAGTTCGATCGATTAAACCTCCTCAAGTCCAAAATAAAACAATTCTAGCTTATTAAAAGTTGGCCCATGGTGCAATTATTGCAAGGACCCTAGTGCACGAATCCAGGCCATTGGGTGTGACACTTGAGCCTCCCTATATAAGGATTTTGTGCCACTTTTATAAAGGGGATTCATATCATCACATCACATATCTTGGAGAGGAGGCTAGAGACTAGAGAGCTTTTACACATCTTTGAGAGTTCTTCCATTCTTTTAGAGTTTCCATCAAAAAGGAGGTCATTCCTACCATGGAGATAGCCCTTGAGGGTTGGATGACTACTTTAATGAGTGGCTAGACATTTACTTAGGGCTTGAATAGCCCCTAAGTTTGCTTCCTAGACCTAGTGCTTTGTATATTTTTGGGGATTTACTTGTAATAAATGTTTTGATCTTGGATTTATATATATATCTTGTGGTTTTTACTTGATGTGTATGTCAATTGATTATCTATTTCTTATCATATGTCTATGTATGCTAGAATGGATGATTCATGTGCTTTTCTCTAGATTTAATGGAATTTATGCATGTCTATGTGTATGGATGAAGTTAATCTAGTGATGATCAAAACATAGTGCTTAATTGAACACTCTTGTAATTTATTTGATGGTTCACACTTGTTTCTTGATGGATTGTGCCACACCTTTAGCTTACTTAGTTTAATTTCCATGTATTTAGTGTAGATGTAATGTAGTTGCTTTAGATTCATAGATAGGTGGACAATTTATTCTTATTCTTTGGTATTTCATACTTATGAATACAAAGGGTGTATGTTTCTAGATAGTTGTGTGTGCATAAATTGTGGTTTCATCGAATGGATTTTAGTCTCATTTGATAGGTTGTGCTTTCCATTTGAATTGGCTAGACAATCTATACTTATTAGCCATCTATGCCTAGTTTCAATTAATGGCACACACACACACACAAATTACAACTCAATTTCCCCATAGATATACAATTGCTAGTGTCTAGTGAAGTCAAGCTTAATGGTGAGCTCTAGTACCCCAAGTCCTCTCCTTTATATCTTTTTCCCTATCTTCTACATTATTGTGTTTTGCTTGCTTTAATTTCAATTGCATTATAGTTTAATCAATTAAACAATCCACTTTTGATCACTCGACCTACAAATCCAACTTTATTTCCTTATCACATTGCCTCTAATCCCTTGGGACGATCCCTACTCACCCTAGCTATATTTTTAGTTAGAGGTAGTAATGGCATTTATAAATTTAAAACTTGGCCACACTATTTTGCATAAATTTGGTTGCATCGCGACGGCTTCACCAAGTTTTTGGCGCCGTTGCCGAGGATTAAGTTGGCAACGCCGTATTTTGGAAACAATTAAGAATTAGTACTTTTTTATTGTGCCTTTATTTATTTTATTTTATTTTATTTTTAGTTACTTATTGTGTTCATTCTTATTTGGCTAAGTGAATTGAGTAAGGAAGTTGAGCAAAGGAGAATTCAAAGCAAGGAGCTAAGCTAAGCACAAAAGGGCTAAAATCTAAAAATTGCAAAACATAGCAAGGCTTGAAAATTGAAAAAATATATTGAAATTGCTTAAGGACCCTTTGTGAGATCTCTCTAACTCAATCTCTAGTTAAATCGTCAGCTCGCGTGGTGGCAAGTTTTTAAATTCTTAAATAGATCGTGAGCCCGCGTGGAGGCAATTTACTTTTTCTTTGCATATTATTCAAGCATGGGAGTATGGGACCAATGTATGTGGAGAATGTTTGTTGATTGATTTGTTGTGGGGGGCGAAGTGATTGTTATTTGCTTGTTATTTGTTTTGCTAGGGCATGCATGGTCGTAGGTCATTGAATCATACTCTTGTCCCTCATAATTTGCATCTTGAATCAGTTGTTCGTAATCCTAGGGGAAGAGGTAGTTCTCATCACTCTATTTCACCAATGGAGGAATTGAATGACGATTATGTGGAGGACCTTGGTCACATAGACCAACAAGGCATCCTCCACCCTAATGTGCATCATGAAAATATTCAAGTACCATTAGGCATGCCAAGACCATTCATTCCACCACAACAACAAGGCCAAGTTCTATTGGGAATGCCTCGGCCAATTTTTGCTCCACAACCTCCCATTATCCAAGGCAACCACAGTGTTTGAGTAGCATCATCGGTTGTGAATCCTCCCATTGCTTTAAGAGACCATTATGTGCCTAATGAATATAATGCACCCACTTGCATTCAATTGCCCCCATTTAGAGCACATCACTATGAGATTAAGCCACAACTATTCAAATGCTTCCAAACTATCATGGACTTCCAAGTAAAGAACCTTACAAGCATTTGGATGAGTTTCTTGAAGTGTGTTCCACCGTGAAATACACGAACATGCCGGAAGAGGTTTTAAGACTTAAACTTTTTCCTTTTACCCTTAGACAAAGCAAAATATTGGTTCAACAATCTTAGGACTTTTTTGATAACTTCTTGGGCAGAAATGCAACAAGAGTTCTTGAAGAAGCATTATCTGGTATCAAAGACCAATGCTATGAGAACTTCCATTCGTGAATTTTCTCAAAGGGATGGGGAAATGTTTCATGAGGCATGGAAAATATTTAATGATTTGTTTAGAAAGTGCCCTCATCATAACAGACCTAAGTGGCAATTAGTCCAATATTTCTTTGAAAGTTTACTGGATAATCACAAGGGTATGGGTGATGCATTTATGGGTGGTTCTTATCTTGACAAACATGAAAATGATGTGTGGCAATTGTATGAAAGCATGAGTGAGAATTCAATGCATATATCTTTGTCCTCTAAAAATGGTAGAAACCTAGGTGGAAGGAAGAATGTCGGCTTATATCAAGTTGACAATTCAAATGACATAGCCGCCAAGATGAAATCTTTATCTCAAAGGTTTGATCAATTTTTGGTCAACCAAAATTCGGCGTATCGAGTATCTTCCTCCCTTAATCATGTTCATCATCATGCATCTAATGAATCATCTATGACTTGTTCAAGTGTCTTGCATTCTACTTTCAATTGTCCCCATGGGCATGTGCAAAGTGAGAACCATGAACAAACAAATGTTGTCTTTGCTAACCAAGGGAATAATCCTTATGGATCACACTATAATCCAGGGTGGAGGAACCATCCAAACTTCTCTTAGAAAAGCCAAGGGAAGGCTCAAACCCTCCCCAAGGTGGTTTTCAAAACACGTATGTTCCACCTCCAATGCAAAGCCAAGGTTCCCAAGGTTATAGATCTTCTTTTCAATCATCACATGGAAATCAATTTTCAAATTCTCATTTTCCTAACCAATCATCGTATTCTCAAGGAAACTCAAGGAGTCCCGCTTTTGAGGAGAAAGTGTTGACCGCTCTAGGCACTCTAGAGGAGAAAACTCAATTACTTCATTCTCATTCTCAATCCATTACTAAGCTAGAAACCCAAGTCGGGCAAATAACTAGTACTTTAAATGCTAGAGAGAAGGAGAAAATGCCTTTAAATGCCCCACCAAAGCAACAATGTGTTGCGGAGACTCATTCCTCATCGGAAGGTCACACAATTGAGCATGTCAATGCGGTGACAACCTTGAGAAGTGGGAGAATTATTGATAACCAAGTAGGTATTCCCAATGAAGAGAGTGAACTGGTGCAACCCAAAGTTGACACTCATCCCGTTTCACATTCTATTCCTTCTTCATTGCATGCGCATGATCATTTTATTGAGAAAGTCGTCAAAAATGATTTGAAAGATGAATTGAACAATGACTTGAAAAAGGATTTTAAAAATTCTTGTGTTGAAGATCTAAGAAAGATTTTGAAAAGGTTTTTAAGCCAAGAGCTCCATTTTCGGATGCCTTGAAATGATCAATTTCGCTTGAAAAACAAAAGACCAAGACCCATGAAATCATTGAAATGTTCAAGCAAATGAAGATTAATCTTCCACTTTTGGATGCAATTAAGCAAATTCCGGCTTATGCCAAGTTCTTGAAAGATCATTGCACCTAAAAGAGGAAGAACAAAAGCCAAGCACCAAAGAAAGTGGTCTTGACTGAGCAAGTGAGCTCCATTTTGCAACACAACACTCTCCCAAAGTTTAAGGACCCCGGTTTACCTACTACCTCTTGCATTATCGGTGACCATGTCATTAATTGGGCTTTTCTAGACTTAGGAGCAAGTGTCGACCTTCTTCCATATTCAGTGTATGTCAAATTGGGCTTAGGAGACTTAAAATCGACGATGGTAGTTTTGCAACTTGCCGACCGATCCATCAAAAAGCCCTGGGGTATCATAGAGGATGTTTTGCTTAGGATTGATAAGTTCTTTTTCCCCGTTGATTTCGTTGTCATAGACACGGAACCGGTTCCGAACCCTAAAAGCCAAATTCCTGTTATCTTTGGCCGTCCTTTCTTGGCAACCGCAAATGCTAACATAAATTGTAAGACGGGGATTATGAAAATCTCATTTGGCTACATGAAAGTGAAATTGAACATCTTTAATCCAACCCTGAATTCCATAGATAAGCATGAAGAAGTGTGTGTTATTGAAAAATGCATTGCTAATGAATTTGATGAAGTTGAGTCTCTACTTGATATTGAACATTTCCATGGTTTGCTTACCAAAAAAATTCAAAGAAAATTGTTTTAAAACCAAGTGTTCCAAGGGCATGTGTAATACCCCTAATTTCAAAAGGATAGTCCTGATATTTTATAAATTGCATTTATATTTGTTTAATGGTTTATTTGTTAATTTAATGGAGTTATGTAATTTATTTGTTTTTTTTAATTTTATTTAACTGACATTTGTTTAGTTAGTACTGGTTTAATTATGTGCTTATGTGGCTATTTAAATATATAGTTTTTAATTTAACTGTGGTCCGTGTTTTGGTTTCCATGTATATTAGTATTAGGGTTTAGTCTTTTAGGTTTCACGTTGAGTCGACTTGTAGTTGGTTTAGGATTTAATTTAGGGTTTCAAATAAAACCTATAAATACATAAGTATATGTCTGCCAAGGGTTTTGTTAATCCTTTTCACGTAGCATAGAGATACAGAGAGTTGTGAGATTTTGAGAAAACAGATAGTGAAAACTTGAGAGCTTACAGAGAAGTTCAAGGAGGAAGGAACGGGTTGCTTCTAGGTTAGCCAAGAGTAATAGAGGCGTGGAACAAAGTTGGAAATTTATAGACGACAGTTGGAAATTTAAAACCAAAGTCTCGAAGGCAAGTTTCTGTTCTTGCTCTTTCCTTTTAATTCGTGTTCTGTGCATGCCTAGCTAGACTCCAGGAGTTTAATTAATGCTAAAACAAATTAATTATGCATGCTTAATCAAAATAAAACAGAGAGTTGCAGAGTTATACATACCTGTTCGTGTTTTCTTTAGTTTTGTGATCTTTATGCATGAACTATTGTTTAAATTGAATCTTTGCATGTTAAAACACTTAGAATAATTTAGTATGGACGTATGGGACGTAGGTTAAAGCTTAGAGGCCTTAGCAATGGAGTTTTAGGGTTTACAAAGGCTAAACGGCGACATCAGCACCAACTTAGCCGACTCAGTTGGAGACTGAGCCGACTGAGTTGGCAACTTAGCCGACTCAGTTGGAGACTGAGCCGACTGAGTTGGGAACTTAGCCGACTAAGTTAGCAACTTAGCCGACTAAGTTAGGAACTTAGCCTGCTCAGTTGGCAATTGAGCCGACTAAGCTGGGCCGCGACCTGGAACTTAGTTTTAATTGCCCAGAATTGTTTTAGAACCTATTTTAAGTAATCTAAATGGGTTAAATAGACTTTGGATGGTTCTAAAATGCATAATATACTTCTTATGCTTAGGACATTTGATAATACGGATATGTAAATAAATTTTTATAAATTATTTAAAGGATGAATCAGTATAAAAGTATACAACTTAGCATACTGATAATGGATGGAAAGAACCAAATTGCTTAGCTTAGTTTTGGGCAACATAATGGATTGTAATAAGATTATAAATCTTATATTAGATGCATGATAGATCATTTTATGTTTAAGGTTTGAACTATACATGCTCTGGATGTTAATTGTTGGAATATCAAATTCTTTAGTGCAATTACATGAATTAATGCTGGGATTTATATTGCTGAAATTTTAAATACCTTTCTGCAATGATATGGATAATGGTTTGGATTGTAAATTACTAGCTTATTATTATGTTTTGTAATTTACATGGATATGGAGGATTGTATGCACCGGTATGGGACGGTGACATACTAGGGACGGTTTAGCTCAATACGCTTAAACCTACCCTAATGGATTAAAGGATGGATTGAAAAATATTGAATCCAAATTGTGATTGAGTCAGATCAGCTGCAACTATGTTAAATGGATTCCTGGATTAATGGATGGTAGTGAAGTCGTATCAATTGAATAAGTTGAGTGACTAACTAGTTGTATATTATATGTCATCTCAATAAGTATTTGAATGACATACCCTGGTTTTGGACGGACTTTATATATATGTTTATGGTACCACGAGATGAGCTTGAATCTCAGACTCGTTGGTTAGGGTGCGTAAATGCAGTGGATGCATAGCTGGTTAAAGTAGGTTGAGGTGTACCCTGTTAGGTCTAAGTACTCATGCTCACCTTTGGGTGCGTTTTCATATGTTGCCTTCTATTCAGGTTGAGACCCCTACTGTAGTCCAGTGAATGTCCCTTAGTGTGGATATATATATGTATGGACTAGATAGATATTGTTGAGCTATCTAGGATGTATCTGCGTATCGGATTATTGCTTGGATCGTAGTAGAATAGGACTTATATGTGGGCCTGACCCACTCTTTATTTTTCAAGTGTTCGTCAGTTCTACGGTTAGAGCTTGGACGTGCAGAGCAGATACAGATATTCATTCCTCCGACTACGTAGGAATTTTTACTATGTTTAGCTTTAGATTCTACTTCAGATATTTTAGTTTCTATTGGGTTTTAATAAGGGGTCCACTGGATGGATTCCCGAGTTGTAAACTTATGGAGTTTTGAATTAACGGATTTAAATAATTATGTTTTGAGGATTTTTATTCTAGTTTCTTTCAGCTTATTATTTTTATTTCTTTAATTCAATTTGTATTCCGTGTTCGTTAAAATATTAATTGTTTGATATTCCCTCGGGTTTGGGCTTGGGCCTGATTAACCCGCATCTCGGATCTGAGGGGTGTCACAGAATGGAAGCCCAAGAGTTGTTTTGACCAAGGACCGTCAATTAGTTTTGATCTAAATCCGATAAGTTCTTTAAAGAACCATTTGTTGGATGGGGATCTATTTACCTTATAAAAGTGTATTCTTTTTATATTTTTTATATACATTTTTTTGTAATAATAATATATACTCGATTTGGATATTTTATAAGCGTCGTTTCAGTTTTAAGTTGTTGTTTGAAACTTTACCACTGTTAATTCTATTTGTATTTTTTATATACAATTTTTGGTAATAATAATAATAGTATATACTCAATTTCAATATTTTATAAGCATGTATAGAACTTTACTGGTTACAACTTATATAATGTTAGTTTTATATTCAGATTTTTCATATATCCGTATATCTCTCGTTGTATATATCTTATATAAATGATGTCTAAGTTGAACTCATGTTGCAAACTATATCTCCCTTTCTA